AATTTCTTTATTTTTGTCTTGGAAGATCCTTTTAATACCAGTGATTTAAAGTCATTACTAAAAATTCAATATTTGGAAAACACTATAAGAAATGGATATACTGAAACCTAACACGTTTCACAGTTGTGGTATTGAGAACAACAGATTCCTATATTGATTGACTAGTCGACATAGCCGCCATATACATAATTTCCCGGCACACTGCAGCTTACCACTCAGCTCTTTAAACATCCACTTTGTTAATGAGAAATAATGTTTATGATTACGGTTGGAACTGGGACAGTTCACTAGAAGTAAGATAAAATCAGAAATCAAATTCGAAATAAGCACAACAACAGTCCCTGGAGTGACATCAAAACAGAAAACACAAATAATCGTTCGAATACTGAGAAACGTTTGATAATGTTTCTTTTTACCACGATTTACATAGTGCGAACCGTCGATGAAGCGGAAGACGCCAACCTTTCCCTGGGCTTTTCACGGGTTGTACAAAAGACGTACAGTTGAATAACATCTTTCAATACAAATTTAGAGTTAGGTACAGTGGAAGTAAAATAAATTAAACTGCATCAAAATCAGTATAAAGACAGCGGGGAAGAATAGTTTAAGTCAATATATGAACAACGGAAATCTTGTCATTGAGACCAATGAAAAGTACGCTTGTAAACTGGAAGAATAAGCCCGATGTGACCCGAAATATGAATGCGGGTAATGTGACGTTCTCAAAATGAGAACCAAGTTATAAAATGGATTTTCACAGGCAAAGTAACGAGAATTGAACACGTCTTAAACCATATGACACCAGAATATTTCCTGATGTTCACAGGAATTGTTCTTTATATATCTTATAAATATCTTTCATTATTTTTTTAACCTGCAACTCGCAACAACCACGGTCTGTAAGGAAAATATTGAATTTAATTTAAAAGTATCGAATGGTGAATTATTTATTCAAACCATCAGAAACTATATATTTTACATGTTGTTCCAAGTTAACAAATCGATCTGTGCTCATTTCTTTTGATACAAGTTTTATTGTATGACACATACCATGCACTCTGATGGTTCAAGCTTTTAATTTTTTCAATTACCTGCAGAAATAATATTCCGTTGTAGTATAAAGACTTACTTTTACTTCGTATCGTGTAGAGATAAAATGATCTCCATTATTGTCTCCTCCCTTACACAAACATGATTATTGCTTGTCGCTTCAGGAACAATGTTATGGCCTTAAAGCAATCAATAGCACTCAGGTGTCGATCGCATGGCCAAAACTATTAAATTACTTAACACAAACCAAGGTAAATGTTTGAAGATCTTATATAAATAGTATCAGGTGCGTGTTTACTTAAAAAAATATGTGTTTGTGTGTCAGTATGATCAAATATTTTTTTTAATGTTATCTCTATCAAACATCATTGCCATATGTTCCACATATCTTTTGGGTTTCAGTTATACAGTTTAAGTAATGTAAACACTGTTTATTCAGGGCAACAGATGACACTTGTCCTAATTTCATCAAATCTGTTCAAAGAAAATAAGCAAGGCTATGATTGGGCAAATGCATTTTCTCACATGCTGTAACATCTGTCATTTTCACTGCATCTCCTATGCCATACCTTCATTTAAATGATGATTAGTTAGGTTGAGTGGTTTCTGTTTGGCGTTAATTGATAATATAAAATCCAGCTAGAGAAAGACAAATAAAACGCCTCGACAATAATTCTACAGGTGTATGTTCTTACTCGACAGTGGTACCAATGACTTGAATTTTTAAACCTACGAGACGACTGAGGAGAAGTTGAATCAATGGCGTCGTGCATTACCCTTTACTAGATTCCAATATTGAATGATTTCAAAAGAAAATCCAAACACGTGTATACCTTTAACTCTACTATTATCAGAGTGAATTAAAACGTGACATGAAGGTTTCAGCAAACCTTTGCGGCTAACAGTCCACAAGCAGTTTCTAACAAAGCATTCACTTGTGTGACTTTTGTAAAAAAAATTGCCGTCAATCTTTAACCATAAAAAGCCCGTTTTAGAACAAACTCAACGTATCCGAAATTGAACAACCTTATAATGTCATAATGAAAATTGACAAAATGGTCAACGTTTCACTTCCTGTTTACGAAAGGACATCTCCGTAATAACAGTTTTTCTAAACTAAGTCTGGAGGAGTACACGAGTTTTGGCTTAAAAGTCACATACTTACAGCTATTCAAAAATGACATAAATTGCATAAAAATGATAATGTTTTATTTGTTATAACAATCAAGATGTTATACCAGTACAGTAATAAAAATTGATATGTAATGAAGTTCATTAACAAATATCTTTGGAAGCTTAAACCCTTATTTTTTTTTCTTTTAATGTGCAACCAGACACATTATATCCGATTTATACGTCCTGCTTTTAAGGCAAGAACGTCAATCCCTTTTTATACATTCCAAGAAAAAAAAGAACAAAAGCAAATTTGTTGTCAAAACATTTGATTTCGAAATAAACTATATTTTTATTCATTTAATTTAAACTTACAAAGATACTTTATCTACTTCAAACAATAAAATCTAGTGTAATGAGATTTCCTTGATACCGTAAGCTTAGACTGTAATGTTTACAACATTGCGTCATTTTTTAGATATAAATTGTGAATTTCATTGTATTTGTTATCATGCGAAGTTGAAAATAAGTAATATATTTTCAAGGCAAGAAATATAATTACATCTAACATATAGGTATTCCTTCAAAACAAATAGTTACAATAGTCTACTAACCGAAAGAGAAGAAAGAACTTTATGGTTTTATTGATAAAATTAAATACAGAATATTAAGTAAATATTTAGATGTGTCTTTACCTCAACAATGCTTTGTCTTCCTTCTGTTATACAACCCATGTATAATATATAAGCGAGATTACAAACTAAGTTGTGCAATAATAAGTGGGGTTTTTTTAAAAGAAATTGTCATTATCTATGGTCTCAAGTCACTGTATAGTTGTATGTCTTCGCGGATCTAACATTTCGCGGTTGTTGTGGTTGGAGCTTCTTAACGTCTGAACGTTGTTTTGATAGTAAACAGCTTACCATCACTACGCATTTTTATGTGTTTATAGACCGGGAATACACTTAAAAAAACTACCAGTGCTTAACGACAAATTATGCCTCCATGACAGTCCTTGGAATAGCAGAGTCATTAAGGTATCACGTTTGCCTCTTAGGGGACTATAACTTTGGTATGGAAGTCAAATGAATTGACAATGAAAATGGAAATGATATAAAACCTTTTTTCCAATTGACTAAAATTACTTTCATACTTTTTACAGAATGGCTTGTGTTTTCGAGATACCAATATACTATGAAATATTTGTTTAACGTTGTCATTTTCCTTGATTTCTGCTTACAAATGTGATCAATGGTATATTGTTTTTTACATATTATGGTAAAACGATTACACATAAATAATAACAAAAGGCTAAAAATGATTCTTTCGATTGTCGCTACAACAAAACATACCTTGTAGAAATTTAGAACAAAAGTGTTCCAAATATATGTAAGTGAAAACCTTATATGAATTTCACAGCTTTGCGAATGTCTGTAAAATAAGTTAATTGAAAGAAAAAAAAGAAAAAATGCAAGATTATCTGAGTTTTTGTTGGGCAAGTGTATTAGGAAGTGACGATGCATTGATATGTTAAGCGTCTTAAAATGAATGATGAATAACGTACAAATGTCGTAAGCAGTTTTACGAGCTGTTGATTATACCAGTTCATTTAGCCTGGTAAACGTTGCATTACATTGTTGCATGATATTCTATGAATTGTATATACATGGCAATTGATGGAATCAATGATTTTGAAAGTATTGCATTTATCGACACAAAAAGAGTCCATATTAATCACAGACTGATTTCTCCCGATTATGTCTTTGATGATTCAAATTCATTTTTTTTTTATATTTAGAGGGTTTCAATTAGTTTTCATATGATATTCTTAAAAAATAAAGCAGAAATTCAAACTTTGAAACGAGTTTCTTTTTAAAGTATCATTTGAAATTAAAATCTATTCTAATTTTTTTAATCACATATTTCAGAAAAGCTACGTCTTGATAGGTTATAAAAACAAAACATAGAGGACAAAACAAAATGGAGGCAGCCATTTTTTCCAATTTTCAATTTATGACGTAAGGTCATTGTCCCTATTACGACATCACAATCGATTTCCAAGTGGCGCAGCCAATGAAAAACGCTTTTGGGTATGTTATACTAGTAAAACGTACAAAAATTTTGCATGGATGAATTTACTGGTTAATAGTAACACGCCGATCACATAAAAAGATATCTTGTTAGGGGATGTAATCATAAACCAGGAAAAAATAGTTTTGTTTGTGCTACAAGAAAAATAAAACAGTTTTGAAATAAAGTTCCTCCTTTGTTATTTGTGAATGTCATTATTTAGTACAAGCTACATCAAACTTATCTTAATTGAAATATGCATAAGTGTTTAAATGTCTTGAAACACAGTGCCGTTATCACAAATTTAAAAACATATGGTAAACGAAAATTCCCTGCGCCACTCTCGTTGTTTCAACGACATATTAGTCAAAAGAATAATACAAGGAATTGTGTAACAACATACATCACATGCATTGATGACTTCGTGAGATACAATTTGTTCATTGATTTATCGAACATCTACATCAATATGTCTCCATGTAATTTAAACACGTACATAAGAAGTTTATTTAACTACCATTTACAGTTAATTGTAGTCAAACCCACGTCGGTAATGAAACGGAAATTCCAGAGTTACGTGTAACATTTAATTCTATATAATCTCGTTTTATTTCGTAAATGCACATTCATGCAAGTCAATTTTGTAAAAATATAAAATTTCACAGAACACATTTCAACAGTTCAACAGTAGGACCGTTGCCAAAGGAATAGTCCTCATATTTCCAAAATAACTTAAGATTAAAGACCGAAACCAAAGAAGTGTTTTGTCACAGTTGTGAACAGATGATTGTGCCGTTCGTGAGCTCCCCAATCGTCGAAGTTTCATCTGAATCACTCTGTACAAACCCACCATTGGATTTACCACTGCCGTTCGGAAGCTTGGTTAATGAGTTTTCTTTAATTTTTTGGTCGACGTGAGATATGCCATTTGACGTCACAAGAGCGCCATTGCTGATAGTTGCAATGGCGGATCCATTTATCCCATTTATGGATGAACTACCGCTGTGTGTCGAGTCAAGAAAAGACCCGTTTGTGTGTCCAGTTACATTTTGACTGGATGTCGATATAGCATCGAACTGGTCCATCACATCATTCGAATTGTCTGAAGTTGTTTCGTTCTTTTTACACCTGGATACTGACTTACGAAGACCCGTTACTATGTTACCCACCAATTGTCTTCGTAACAGAATGTAAATCCAAGGATCTAATATTTGATTAAAGGCAGCACATCTGATAACTACCAAGTCTAAATCCTCTGAAAAATTCGTCATCTCCGCCTGTTTCAGTAATACCACAACCTGTAATAGATAATATTAAGTTGAAAATATGTATTAAAGTTCCCATTCACAACATTATCATTCTGACTTGGAACAGAGGCAAAAGTTCCTTTACTGGAAAGACGCGTATTTTGATTGAATGAAGATTTTTTGCTTTTTCTAACTTGTCTTACGCTTCTTATTATGCTAAAGGAATGGGAGAAAAATGAAAAACACGTCAACAGAATCATATTCAATAAAATCAGAACAAAATAAGAACAAAGATTTACATGGAGACACCTAAAAAGTCAATAGAGTAAACGAGCATGTGTTTCAGAAAGGTAAGCTTCTTCTACTTCTGGAAATGTTCTTAACCTATCATTTTTCAGGAAAAGGGCGTATTGTCAACATTTATGGTACATATATAGTCTCTACATGGCCATATAAGACGGAATTGCACGAAAAACCACTAAATCCATTGCCAGAAGCTGATTGCACACCACTTCAAGACTCCTTTTACTTCCAGATGAAATTTGAGTTTTCTTTATTCATTAATAAGAAGAAATAATATAAATGTTGATATTTGAATCTCCTATCAGGGACAGCTACCGTGCCTTAGGTCATCCTTATTTTACAACCTTTTTTCATATTGACACATTTTCTAACTAATATTTTCTAACCCACTGTTCTGCCTGAAGAAGTCATAGCGTTCTACTTGACCTATGCTCATCTAACAATGCATGTAATAAACCATTAACAGTTAAAAGTAAAATATAACAAGGACATAGTCATCACGATCCCCACCTATGTTCATTTGTAAAAGATACACATTATAAGAGAGTAACACGGAAAACTAAAGTATTGAAACCATTTATAGTTTATGTTCAGTTTTAGGTTCTGATGAATGTGATTAATACCATAACAATTTAGTAGCATAATACTGTGAATATTAAAATCAACTTATCATACATCTATATCCCCTTCTTTTACCCATTGGTAAGGATGAAATATCTGTCAGTGATGCTGAATCAATAAGTGATAATGTTGCCGCTCAAGTATGACAAAATAGTGAAATGATTTACACACATTAATAGTCAGATATGTGAAATTGCAAGAAAGTTACTTTCAGTATAAACAAAACGTAAGCGGTGATAATACAACATCACTTCGAACATCAGACTTCTAAAAACATTTTGAAGATGTGCTGTTATAGGTTTATTAGTGAAAAGACCTATTGTTACTGTTCTGTTTCTCCTTATTTATGCTCTTATTCTTCTTCCGTAATTTTGTTGCGTCTAAATTTCCGAATCGGTAAGAAGTATGTTTGTAATGTCTTAAAGGTCTCTTATTTGTTAATTCAGAAAAAGTCCTGTGCAAATCAATCATCCATATAGATCACAGCAGCCTTATTTGATATTAGCAGAACTAGCCGATAATCAAACTTAAGAGAATGGTAAAGGCACCAAGTCTGTTAAGCAAGTCTCTTAAAAAATTATCATTCCTTTGAAAGTAGTGTGCAAGTGTTTCAAGACATCAGGCAGTCAGGTAAAAGCACCATGGTTAGTTATACATGGAATTCACGGTTGATCGAACTTGAGTAGGGAGGTTATATAACAACTTTACCAAGCAAACGACGTCAAAAGTTGCGGAAAACATTTAGTAAGGGTGCTAATAGATAGCATTCAATCAGGACCTCATTAAATATCCACATAATTTGCTGATAATCAAACTTGAGGGGTTAAGTAACATGTTTACCAAGCAAGTCTTATCATAGTTCATTAATTTATTCTTTAAAATCATAACATGCGGAAAACATTATCGAACCTGAACAAGGAATTAAGATGTTACGTCAACAAAGCACGTTTCCTAAAAATCTTGTCATTCCTTCATAAGTAAATGTACAAGGAGCATTGCCATAAAGTGATTAAAGAAATCAGTCAATAAGTTCACGGCAGCCTCAGTAAACATGCGCGGAATTCGCTGTTAATCGAACTTGGGTGAGTGAGCGATAAAGTAACAAGTGTACCAACCAAGTATCATCAAAATCCGATCAGTATTTCAAAAGATATCATGAAGAAAACAGCATCCGGACGGACGGAAGGATCCCTCGCAAACGAAGTTGGATGAGGATAACGAAAGAAGACGTTCTCGATGTTCTGTAATTAATCGTAACTTAACCATTTTCGGTGCAGGAGTCCCAATGTATTCTAAGATTCGTGTTATAGGTATATTAAGCATTGATTTTTTCATTCTACATTATGTTGAATGATATGTCAATATTTTCTAACCATTAGATACAACATTTTGTTAAATGTTAATCAATGGAAATTTCACACTTGGGGATAAGTTATTTACATCGTGATATCGATAAAATACTTTCGTTGTAAAGAAATAAATTTGTAATTACATTACATATATCTCCCAAAAATTCACATAGTCACCAACTGGTTTATTTATAGATTATAAAATAATTTTAAAGGACAACAACGACATTCAAAAAGTGTCTTTCGACGGTACTCTTCGCTGTTTTTTTTAAAGTTGGTTCTATTTAAATAATCACACATTGCAGCTACATCACATGATTTTTAGAACTCGCTGCTGTTGCCCGGAAAGCAGCAGTGATGTATCAACTAGTAGAATATGAGGTTTTTAAAAATCTTTTTATTAGGTATAATGAAATTAAAGGTTTGCTTCTCTACTTGTCTTCTAAATATTGACATAATCATATATATATATTTTATAGCAAACTCGAGATTTTCTTTTGAGGATCAATTGGTAGTTTTGCCTTGTTTAAAAATCTATGCTGATAAGGGATATGGTATTTGCGTGATACTAGAACATTGAAATAATGCCAGCTGGGTTGAAGATCCGAGCTGTATGGTTCGTTCAGTTATAAATGGCATCAATGTTAAAGAATATCTGTTAAGTTATTTGTCAGCGTGTATCACTAGCTTGTATCAACATGCCATAGTTACAAAATGTATGTTTACAGCGGGTTTTTGTTGCAGCCAATGTTTTAAAAGTAAAAAGTATTGATATCTTTTTTTCTAAACAAATAACTTCCTGGTATTGTCTTACCTGTGGTCAAACATCATGTTTTTTTCTGATATGGCAACGTTTAAATGATTGTTACTCTAGTTACATATCAAATTAATTATCAAACAGATGTTCAGCTCTCACTCAATAGCACAAATGACGACAGCAATTGTAAATTGTTATTTATTGCTATAAAAGCAAACATCACTTACTTGAATTAGCGTTTTATAGTAATAAATGACGAAATTAGGTAGATAAGCTATGTGATTACCTCATGATAAGGAACATGCAAAGTCATCACTACATTACGTCAATACAAGAGCAAAATAAAAGGTATACAATGCTATATTGTAAAAGATAACCTGACAACACCACCGTATGGTGTCTAAAGACGAAAAAACAATGTTTACACTACCGTATGGTGTATAAAGAAGATCACAGCATGGTAACGCTACCGTTTTGTGTTTAAAGAAAATTACACAATGTTAACACCACCGTATTGTAAAAAAAAAGATGGTACAATATTAACATGACTGTTTTGTGTATAGAGACGATTACACAATATTAACACCACCGTTTTGTGTATAAAGAAGATTACACAATATTAACACCACCGTTTTGTGTATAAAGAAGATTACACAATATTAACGCTACCGTTTTGTGAAAAAGAAGATTGCACAATATTAACATGACTGTTTTGTGTATAGAGACGATTACACAATATTAACACCACCGTATTGTGAAAAAGAATATTACACAATATCAACACCACCGTTTTGTATAAAGAAGATTACACAATATTAACACCACCGTTTTGTGTATAAAGAATATTACACAATATTAACGCTACCGTTTTGTGTATAAAGAAGATTACACAATATTAACACCTCCGTTTTGTGTATAAAGAAGATTACACAATATTAACACCACCGTTTTATGTATAAAGAAGATTACAGCATGGTACAGTGTTTTGTATGAAAATGACTACAACATGTTTAAACTACTGTTGTTTTAATCATTTTTGTCAGTATCTACAGTACTACATTTACACATGTTACTACATCGTGTAGTTTAATTATTGTGTCAGAGTATATACATCATTGTTAATGATTGAGTCACCTTTTCACTGTATATACAGTCAGGTTGATCGATACAACCCAGTACAGCGTGTTAAACAGTGGCCACAGTGCACTCTAATTAACGAGAAATAGAGATCGTCTCTATATATATGTATTAGAAGGCGGATAGAGACTATTGTGTAATTAATGGATAGTGCTTCAGTATGTAAATATTTAGCATTGGGAATGGGAGTGAAGTGTAAGTGACGGGCAGCTACTTTTTACTGTTGACACGTAAGTGTGAGAGTATAAGGTAGAGCTTGGCAGAAAGTGCTATGTAATCAAGAGGATATGTGGATTTTTTTTATTGAAGTTGGTTGGTAGGAGGTGCAATGTACTCATTAGGTGTACACGTTAGAGTATTTGGTGTACATTGTGTACTGTGGGGATTAATTTCTATACTAATATAGATCTACGTCTCATTTTTGGATTACAATTGTGATCAACATCAATTTGTGTACTGCACGTCATTTGTAATACTGTAGAGATCCACGTCATTCTGTATACTGTAGAGAACCACTTCATTTGGTATACTGTAGAAAGATCCACGTCATTTGGTAAAATGTAGAGAGATCCACGTCATTTGGTATACTGTAGTGATCCACGTCATTTGGTATACTGTAGAGATCCACGTCATTTGGGATACTGTAGTGATCCACGTCATTTGGCACACTGCAGTGGTCGACGTCATTTGGCACATTACAGTGGTCGACGTCATTTGGTATACTGTAGTGATCCACGTCATTTGGTATACTGCAGTGGTCGACGTCATTTGGCATACTGCAGTGGTCGACGGCAATTTGGTACACTGCAGTGGTCGACGTCACTTTGGTATGCTGCAGTGGTCGACGTCATTTGGTATACTGCAGTGGTCGACGTCACTTTGGTATACTGTAGTGGTCGACGTCACTTTGGTATATTGCACTGATCGACGTCACTTTGTGTACTGAAGCGGTCGACGTCACTTTGGTATACTGCAGTGGTCAACGTCATTTGGCATACTGCAGTGGTCCACGGCACTTTGGTATGCTGCAGTGGTCGGCGTCACTTTGGTATGCTGCAGTGGTCGACGTCACTTTGGGTACTGAAGCGGTCGACATCATTGGTATACTGCAGTGGTCGATATCATTTGGCATACTGCAGTGGTCGACGTCATTTAGCACACTGCAGTGGTCGACGTCATTTGGCTCACTGCAGTGGTCGACGTCATTTTGCATACAGTAGTGATCCACGTCATTTGGTATTATGCAGTGGTCGACGTCATTTGGCACACTGCAGTGGTCGACGTCATTTGGCACATTACAGTGGTCGACGTCATTTGGTATACTGTAGTGATCCACGTCATTTGGTATACTGCAGTGGTCGACGTCATTTGGCATACTGCAGTGGTCGACGGCACTTTGGTATGCTGCAGTGGTCGACGTCATTTGGTATACTGCAGTGGTCGACGTCATTTTGGTATACTGTAGTGGTCGACGTCACTTTGGTATACTGCAGTGGTCAAAGTCATTTGGCATACTGCAGTGGTCAACGTCACTTTGGTATATTGCAGTGATCGACGTCACTTTGTGTACTGAAGCGGTCGACGTCACTTTGGTATACTGCAGTGGTCAACGTCATTTGGCATACTGCAGTGGTCCACGGCACTTTGGTATGCTGCAGTGGTCGACGTCATTTGGAATACTGCAGTGGTCGATATCATTTGGTATACTGCAGTGGCCGACATCATTTGGTATACTGCAGGGGTCGATATCATTTGGTATATTGCAGTGGTCGATATCATTTGGTATACTGCAGGGGTCGACGTCGTTTGATATACTGTAACGGTCGACGTCATTTGGTACACTGTAGTGGTCGACGTATCTGTGTACTGTAGTTGTCGCCGTCACTTGGTGTACTCAAGCGGTTGACATCATTCGGTAATATGTAGTGGTCGACGTCATTTGGTAAACAGTAATGGTCGACACCGTTCCTTTATATACAATAGTTTGAATGGTTTTAATAGACACAGCGGTATTTCAAATACAGTGATGATATATAAATACTTAGCTTTTAAGGATAATAATGAACGCTACTTGACCTTATTAGCCAAATCCTATTTACATATACTGACACTTGCTAAACTCTGCTCAATACTGAATATCTTCTGTACACATACTTGTCGATTGATGGAGGAAATCGGAGTACACCGAGTAGTTCACCGTGTCATTGTTTAAGAACAACCATATTTGACAGACATGTTGACTAACCTAAAAGGAAGCATGTTTTTATACCGTTATTTTTCTGATACTCTCAGTGCCCTGATGAACGTTTACTTGTCTTTGGCATCAAAGACTACTGAGGTAGTAGGGAAATTATAAAAGACATTGGTCCTATAAATTTATATACTTTTATGGGGCTCAGTTTTCGTGGTCTAATAATATTTTGTACCCCCACCCCCAAAACCCTGACTACGTTAAAATTGGATTATTTTGCCTAGGTTAGGAGAATGACAGAATCTTTCGCCCCCTTGAGGACGATATCAAGGGATGAGTATAAGAAAAGTAAACATACAATGTCAAAATGGGGGACATATGCCCATAGTATGAAAAAATGAAACCTGCCATTGTCAGAATGGGGGAAAATATGCCCATAGTGTGAAAAAAATAAACCTAACATTGTCAGAATGGGGAAACATATGCCCATAGTGTGAAAAAAATAAACCTAACATTGTCAGAATGGGGAACATATGCCCATAGTATGAAAAAATGAAACCTGCCATTGTCAGAATGGGGAAACATATGCCCATAGTATGAAAAAATGAAACCTGCCATTGTCAGAATGGGGAAACATATGCCCATAGTATGAAAAAATGAAACCTAACATTGTCAGAATGGGGAACATATGCCCATAGTATGAAAAAATGAAACCTAACATTGTCAGAATGGGGAACATATGCCCATAGTGTGAAAAAATTAAACCTAACATTGTCAGAATGGGGGAAAATATGCCCATAGTGTGAAAAAAATAAACCTAACATTGTCAGAATGGGGAACATATGCCCATAGTATGAAAAAATGAAACCTGCCATTGTCAGAATGGGGGAAAATATGCCCATAGTGTGAAAAAAAGGAAAACCTAACATTGTCAGAATGGGGAACATATGCCCATAGTATGAAAAAATGAAACCTGCCATTGTCAGAATGGGGGAAAATATGCCAATAGTATGAAAAAATGAAACCTAACATTGTCAGAATGGGGAAACATATGCCCATAGTATGAAAAAATGAAACCTGCCATTGTCAGAATGGGGGAAAATATGCCCATAGTATGAAAAAATGAAACCTGCCATTGTCAGAATGGGGGAAAATATGCCCATAGTATGAAAAAATGAAACCTGCCATTGTCAGAATGGGGAACATATGCCCATAGTATGAAAAAATGAAACCTAACATTGTCAGAATGGGGAACATATGCCCATAGTATGAAAAAATGAAACCTAACATTGTCAGAATGGGGAACATATGCCCATAGTGTGAAAAAATTAAACCTAACATTGTCAGAATGGGGAACATATGCCCATAGTGTGAAAAAATGAAACCTAACATTGTCAGAATGGGGAACATATGCCCATAGTATGAAAAAATGAAACCTAACATTGTCAGAATGGGGAACATATGCCCATAGTGTGAAAAAATTAAACCTAACATTGTCAGAATGGGGAACATATGCCCATAGTGTGAAAAAATGAAACCTAACATTGTCAGAATGGGGAACATATGCCCATAGTGTGAAAAAATGAAACCTACCATTGTCAGAATGGGGAACATATGCCCATAGTATGAAAAAAAGGAAAACCTGCCATTGTCAGAATGGGGAACATATGTGATAAAATGAAAACCCATCTTTGTTCAAACGTACATGCATATGCGCAGGATGAGAGAAAATCTTATATGTCTTTGGAATATCATTAAATACCCATATTGAATCATCTTTCGATTAAATTAGCTAGCCTCCTGATAAGCAAAGAAGCATCACGTGATGGAACAGTAAGTTTCTTACTTATTGTAGAATTTTCACCTGATGCGTGTTTCCCCTAACTCTGAAGTCCAATAGCGATCAAACATATTCAGCATAAATATTTCGAACTTTTTTCTAATAACTAGAAACTAATCATTGAACATTCTTTTTTATCCTGAGATGAAAACTTGTCAAGGATAAAGTTTTACTGAAAGATATTACACGTAGTTGCGGATATTGCACTGATTTCCAGCAAGACTTCCAAGTTTCGTGGTTTTTATCAGATTGTGGCAAACAAAAGTTCACTTTATATGTTATAGTTATGAGAGTTCTGTTTTTTAGCTTGTTCTTAGCATTTCTTCGCCATTTCATAAATTTCTATTATATTGCAATTTGTTAATATGATATTCAAATTTTGAACCAAAATTAAGTACATAGATTTGTTGAATCTTACTTACCATTAGAGGTGACCAGCAGGCTACAAAGGTAAACGTAATTCCTGAGAGGAAAACAATCATTTGGAGTTCCTGTTCCGGCGGTCCTCTGTTACTACTGTAGTGTGGAAGAGCAGACGACCGTCTCATCTTGATCAGCAGACAGGTGACTATCACATTTGTAAAAATCAGCATTAGTATCATCAATATACCGACACACGAATAAAGAAACGCATATATACTGTCTTCAATTGTATCACCATTGAAATTAAAGAAGCACCAGGTATCGGGGTAATGGACAACGTTTGAGCCCAAACCTAATAAGGGCAGTGATCCTAATATGAGAGCCGCCACGAAAAACCCTATCAGCGTTTGTGTCACCTTGGACGTGGTCACCTTTTCACTGTACAAGAACGGGTGCATCAGCGCTAAATAACGCTCAACTCCCATGACCGCCACCACAAAGACGGTTGCAAATCCAAAGAATATCATCATGAAAGAGCTGTAATTACAGATTTGTGGTTTTTCCTTTAATCGAATCTGATTGGCGTAAACCATGAAAGTGACTGGTGTTGTCGCACATATGCCTAAAAGATCCGTAAGGGCTAGAACTCCAACCAACCGATAGAACACAGAGCGACGCTGTTCCTTCGGGGATTTGATCAAAACAATAAGTGCTAAGACATTTCCTGTAACTCCAGCTGTGAACATGATAATGGCTGGCCAGGGAGTTGTAGAGTCCTCGGAACTGAGAACGGCAGTCGAGTTCGATAAACTATTCGCCATCATCTATGTCTACATGATGTACCGGAACCGGAAATCGGTACGTATGTCTATCCCATCATTAGTCATGTTTCAAACAATAAACCGCAGAGACATATATTCCTATAAGCAACATTGTATTAACACGACATACAAGACATGTCAATCATCTAACTACACACTTATATAGAGTAGAATCCATTCTGGAGTTTTCCGCCATCTTTATTCCCTAGTGTCGTTTTTCCACTTTGATTCACAGTACCTCACGTTTTAATCCATATGAATACGGTCCTTTAAAGGTCTGAAACACAAGAATAAACGTTCATCAAAATCTCATTACTGGTGAAATGATTAACACGGCAAGTTTCCAATCAACAGAAAAAAAATAGTCGATAACAGTCTAACATCCCCTATCACGTATAGGCCTGTACAGTACTACAGCATGAAAACATATCCCGGTATTGTAGAGCTAAAGAGTGTACACAAGGCAGTTCTACACAGCAAATCTTCACATTAGAAACCAATATCTCGTGAAGCCATGTCATGAATTTTTCATGTCATGTAAAAGTCGTATTTAATGGTATACCTTTCGAATTGATAAACATCATTCGTTGACTATAATAGGTTTCAGCCACGCTATTGACACCATTCTATTTTCATAGTCCACGCTCGATGCTTACACGAAAATATTAATTAGAAGCCTTATATGCTTTAACAGTCTGAGCTACATTATCAATTTAACACCCAGTAAATGTTCTAACGTAACATACATACTTGTACAAGTCCACTTTTGTAATGATCGACGTCTCTAACGATCGTACACCTGTGTTAGTCCAACAGAAATGATTTTATTGGTAACGGTATCTGTATGCCGAGTTATCCGTACGTTGGATTGTAAGCAGGTGTGTTATTGGAACGAATACTGGATCAATAAATCAATAGAGTTAATGTCAGTCTAACGTTCGTCTCTTCACAAATTTCATTTCAAAGGATTTTAACACGATATTGTTAATGTATCGAATAACGTAGTTTTGAGAATTGCATAATGATTAGGATTCTGTTTTGATCCAAATATTCTCTCTGCAATCTTTGGTGAGATCCGAGACAATTATATATTGTTCTGATGAACCGAAAGGAAGCCGAGCCACATCAATATTTTATTTCACTGTCACATTACTTCATTTATTATGCAGAAGGTCACGTAATCACCAAGCTACCATTTTTCAAGAAGGCGTTGATTGAAATTATCCGATTATCACACAGCGCATTGTCGTTTATCAAGAAAACAAGATGGATTATTTTTCCTCCTTCTGTGAAACTCTTGAAATTTCAGGATTTTATTGTGAAACACCCATACAGAGCTCCATATTCATAAAGCTTTTACAAAAGTGTAAGAACATATCGACAAATGTTTCCTCTGCATTGGAAGAATTTCAATCAAAATTAGCCAACGTCAAACTTATTAGGGCATCAGTGATATTAGCCACGATTATATTATAAGGCACAAAATTGATATTTCAGTGTAATAAAACAATCGACTTCTATTATTTTTTTTATTTTTTGTTTTGTTTTATCCCTTATGCAAGAAATTCACATTTGTACAATATCAAAGGGTGTAAGTGACCGTTATCATTAATCTCTATTGCCTGGACACTCGGCTATATTCATACTCAATATATATATACTCAGTATAACAACTGTAGTCAAGAAAGCAGAGGTAGAAAAGGAAATCGATAGACATTTCTTGCGGTCTCTTATGGTTTTCAAAATAATGCTGTGAAGCATAGATATAAAGGTATTGTGGTAGCATGTGACTTGTCCTGTTGCCATGGCAATCTATTGATACAATTAACACGACTTATCATGACAATATAGCGTTAAGACATCTAATTAAGTCGTCTAGTTGTGATAAACATCTCTCTAAATTGACCTTTAGTCGCCTTAATTATCATGACAACACAATCTTTTGTCGCGATATTCCTCTACTCGTGTTGAAACTTTACTTTCTCTTTAGATAGACTGGTGTATATCAACTTTAAGACACAAATCCAGTAAGTATGTCAAATAACACAATGGAATCATTTCGATGTAATGGACCGACCGATCGCTGTAAAATACCGATCATCATTATACACTTCGTTATGAAGATCTGATGGTGGCCGTTAGGGGTCACGTTCAAATGACCTTTCAACCAACCAATCAAAAGGCGACTTGAAAAATCGAGTCGGTATTTGATTGGCTATTATCATGGTTTGTCGTTAGTAAATAGATAAAAACCCAGTGTCCCGATTCTCTACCAGAGTTGCCGTTCCTTAACTGTCACAATACAACTCTGTAAACGGTCCAATAGTTGACCTAGCGGTCAGGGTCAAAGTTTGATGTCGTGCAAAAATATGACGGCATCCCTGACTACACCAGAGAAGGACACAGCTATATACCGTTTATGTGCTTCCGATCAGCATAAAAAACATAATTTGAACTTTTTGAGTTGTTTTGTGCCAATATTATAGCCAAACTACCATCAGTTATTACTGACATCATATTATATGAACATGTTTTTCGAGAACACGCCGGTAGTTGTAAAGAGAAAATCAAGTACAAAATGTAAACAAGACGGTTGGTGACTGACTTAGACTCACCATTATTCTATCGTGATATAACCCATAACGTTTATACCATATAAACTAATGTTGTCATTTTCCAGATGAACAAAGATTTGTTTTCAAAATAATAATGCAAAAAACACAAAAGAAAAATAATGCAATATTTTATCATTTGACAAAAATACGTTTTTTCAAAAATCTTGTGATGGCGTGAGCCGTTTACAGAGGTGCTATTGGGGTGTACCGCAAAGCACTCTGGGAGAGATTACATATCAAGATGGCAGCACCCATCGCAAACCGCCTCGCACCAAAATGGCTGTATTCATGGATCATGTATGTGTTATCAGAGAATGCTCAATTTCCGTCATCGTAATTTTGTGGGAAGTTAAGTGACACTTTATATACTTCAGCTCTTCTTCTGTTGACTGTTCTATCGCTTTATCTTTTTCGTCCAATTTGCACACGCTGCTGAACAAGCATATGAGAGACGGGTTTGGATTGGCTGAAAAGAACCTGTGTACTAGTATAGGCGTTGAGGTCATCTGAACGTAACCCCTTACCGGTCACCATCAGATTGTGGCCCGAACCACATATTAACGCATTGATGGAATTACACGAAGGTTTTATAACGTTTCCACGTGTAAGCTTGTATCTATTTCGTCCATTCACGAATATCACACTTTCACTTTGTTTTGACAAGAGGATGAAATCGTCAAAAACAAAACTAACACTATTCATACATAAAATAACACTTTAAAAACAATTTAACAAACATGCGAAATTTGAGTTTTTTGTTTTTGGTCCAATTCTAGACCACAAGTAATGAATTATATTACAATGTCCCCTTTGGTGTATTGTTTTAAACAATTTACTTTAAAATGTTCTGTTTCAACTGCTCATTAAAACCCCGTATTTTCTATTTTGCTTTAAATGTGAATTATTCATCGTAAAATAAAAAATATGAAATGCACTACAATATTTCTTATACATGCATTATCTACTCTGATCTCTCTTTCCTGTAAAATGATAATATAAGCCGTCAAAGGTACGCTTCACTTAATTTTTTGGCCATGGTCCATTGAATCTTCAACTATATATCAATTTCGTTGCGTTATTGATTTCTTTTTCTTTCGGTTTTATGCACTTCTTTACAAGGCTCATTTAAAATTTGAAAGTTTTCCTTATTTCATCATATCCTAATCAAAGCGTCATTATACAAGCCATCAATACCACAGCGACATCACACAGGACATAAATATCAAAGCGACATCACACAGGTCATCAATACCACAGCGACATCACAAAGGAAATGAATACCAAAGCGACATCACACAGGTCATAAATACCACAGCGACATCACACAGGACATAAATACCATAGCGACATCACACAGGACATCAATACCACAGCGACATCACACAGGACATCAATACCACAGCGAAATCACACAGGACATACATATCAAAGCGACATCACACAGGACATAAATACCATAGCGACATCACACAGGACGTAAATACCACAGCGACATCACACAGGACATAAATACCATAGCGACATCACACAGGACATCAATACCACAGCGACATCACACAGGACATAAATATCAAAGCGACAACACACAGGACATATACAGTCGCGACATCACACAGGACATAAATACCAAAGCGACATCACACAGGACAAATACCATAGCGACATCACACAGGACATAAATACCAAAGCGACATCACACAGGACATAAATACCATAGCGACATCACACAGGACATAAATACCACAGCGACATCACACAGGACATCAATACCACAGTGACATCACACAGGACTTAAATATCAAAGCGACATCACACAGGACATACATATCAAAGCGACATTACATAGGACATAAATAACACAGCGACATCTCACAGGACATAAATACCACAGCGACATCACACAAGACATAAATACCAAAGCGACATCACACAGGACATAAATACCACAGCGACATCACACAGGACATAAATACCAAAGCGACATCACACAGGACATAAATACCAAAGCGACATCACACAGGACATAAATATCAAAGCGACATCACACAGGACATAAATACCACAGCGACATCACACAGGACATAAATACCACAGCGACATCACACAGGATCATAAATACCACAACTACATCACACAGGACATAAATATCAAAGCGACATCACACAGGACATAAAAATACCACAGCGACATCACACAGGACATAGATACGACATCACACAAGACATAAATACCACAGCGACATCACACAGGACATAAATACGACATCACATAGATGTTATTGATCGTTAATGACACGTGTAAGAACATGTGTTATACCAAAGTGTGTAAAAACATATGGAATACCTCACAACCTCTTCACGAAAGACATTACAAGCCATGACACCGGACGTGATTTGTAACCC